AAACAAGCCAATTCACTTCGTGAACTCGGCAACCAGGTTACCGTTATTTTTACCTCCGTTTCTTTTTTTGGGGGGGGCGGTAACCATAGTGGTGGTCGAGTGGATCATGTTGTGAGGGGTAGAGAACCCTCGCTCCGCGCAAGGGGGATGATCGCACCACGTTGTGTTAAAATGGTCAAGCATCCTCGAGGCAGTTACACAGTGCTTACAACTGTCTCTGGAAGTGAAAGCACCAGAAAATAAATTAAGTCATACGCAGCTGTCATCCGTACGAAAGGAAGTAAGCACAAGATGCCGACACCCTTAGCAGGATGCAGCGCACCCTTCATGCGACTCGCCGAATATCTCACGGCGCTTCGCGCTTGGTGATGTGAGAGCCTGGTCCGGTGAGAACCCGGCGTGCTCCGTCCCGGCTTTGTAGGGATGCGAGGTCAATGGTCTAACGACTACGGCATGCACGACTATGAGTACCCCCCCCCCCCCCTTCCTACAAGAGGCGGTGTGTCGGTTGGGCTGGGTGAGGTAGATAGTGAGGGTCACATCGGTTACATCCGAGAAGACCAAACACAACGACACCTGCAAAAGGAGCAACAGCAAAAATAACGGCAAGAACAAAAACGCCGGCATCTGTAAGCATACGCCTGCGTAATGATGGGCACTGCACCTCCAAACCCGGACTTAAACCAAGCGTCCCGCCCTTTGAAAAACATACCATATACCGGTGCGCTTACCTATACACAACAAACATGAGCGTTCATTCGACCTCGCACCTTTCAAATGCCGCAGCGTCTTGGTCGTTGTACATTCTTAGCACGTTGTGGGCCAGCCCTTCCACAGTGGTGTTCCAGTGGCGCGTCGAGCGCTCCCGAAGGGGGCCGTAGATGACTGGCAGAAGCGGGCTCGGGTACTGCATCGAGAGGACCCCAGCCGTAACGAGATGCTCGTTGTTCCACAAGAAAAGCGCGCGTTCCGCCACCTTCAAAGTTTACGGAAAACAGGGTGTCACGGCAGTTGTGACGACAAAGTCATTGAAACCTTCAAAGTTTACGGAATACCGCGTGCCACGGCGGTTGTTACCACAGATCCATCGAAAGATGCTGTGGGTGCTGGTCCTGCCGATGCCACCGACTACGACGACGATTATCACGTTACAACTAGCGTATATATACGTAGCTTATCCATAATCGTGACCGGGTGCCGACCACCAGACATGAGCACCAACAAGCGCGGGTGTTGCGACCAAAAGCAACAAGAATGGGCAACAAGCGACGAAAAAATCAAAACGTCGAACGCGCACCATGCAGCACTTGGAGCATTTTGACTCTTGAGTGTATGCTGAGACTGGTCCCAAGATTGCCGGATGTGAATTTTGCTTTCGTGACTCACACTTGCGCATCCCGTCACCGGCACAGACTAGCTATTTTTCGCAGTTTTCTAGAAGGGATCAAGACGAGGAGAAACGCCACACACAGCTGCCGTATCGAGAGGGGTTTCAATCGTCTTCTATCTTCGGGGGGGGGGGGGC